CTCTCTCTCTCTCTCTCTCTCTCTCATACACACACACACTCTCTCTCTCCCCCTCCCTCCCCATTCCTTCCCCTGTTCTCCCTCAATAGCCAGGTGGCCTTGGCAGGCTCCAGGTGGGAGCCTGGATACAGCAGCACAGGAGCGGATTGTGGAGTAGGATTGAGGAACACAAGCCAATCTAGCCAGATGGTGAAAAACTGGGCTGGACTAAGCTTTAATATGGCACAGGATCTCTGGACATTGGCCCTATTTCTGGCCCTGATTTTCCATAGCAGGAGGGATAGCGATGGGACACTGGGAACCCAGGGGTCACCTATTTCCACCCAAATAAATCTTCCCACAAGACCTCAGCCTCCCTCGTGGGTCCCCAAAAAATGCTTTTTCTCTCAGTACCGTAAGGACCCACTTCCATCGGCAGCACAGAGCTGCACCCAAGGCCTCGGCTACATTCTGCCTTGGGAACAGCTGGCTGAAATCAGAGTGATGCCCACAGCCCTGGGGAAGAGTTAGAAGCTCACTGTTTTTTCACAGGCTGAATGCTGGGCATGTTGGCCCTCCCTGCAGTTGTTTCATATCCCTTCACACCTTTTTACTTTTATTATTTTCCAGAACTTTTGGGATCTTTTCCTTACCCTCCTCAGTGCATTTCATTTGGGTTGGTCAGATAGGGGAAGCTATAAGGTATGAATGACCAGGATGAGTGATCAGTTGAACAAGTTGGCAGGGAAGGAGAGCTCACCGAGCTGACGGGTGGTCCTGCTGGGTGGAGGGCAGGGTTTGTGCAAGGCCCTGAGGCCTGAAGGAGCCTGACATGAGACAGGAGGGGTCAGCATGGCCACAGCCCAGGAGTTCCCACCTTGGCTGGCTCTCTTACTGTCTGGTTTCTGCTCTGTGCCTATTTGCCTGTCTATAAATGGGAGGTGATTTGGTAGGAATTCTCTCCTCGCTTGGGGTATTGAGTTACTGCTTGTTAAGGGCTCAGTGCAGCACTGGTTGTAACGAGCCTGCTATGTTAGTGAATGCTGAGCACCTGGGGGGAAATGTGAGCAGGAAGTGATGGGGCTGACTTGCACCTTTGAAAGTTCACTCTGGGCCCTGGCCGGGTAACTCAGTTTGTTAGAGTGTTGTCCGAATGTGCCAAAGTTTTGGGTTCAATCTCTGGTCAGGGCACATACAGGAATCGACCAAAAGCCCTGGCCAGTTTGGCTCAGTTGTTCGAGTGGTTGCCCACGGACTGAAGGGTCCCGGGTTTGGTTCCAGACAAGGGCACGTACCTTGGTTGTAGGCCCGATTCCCAGCCCCAGTCTGGGTTCATGCGGGAGGCAACCAATCGATCTGTCTCTCTCACATCGATGTCTCTCTCTTCCTTTCACTCTCTCTGAAAAGCAATGGAAAAAATATCCTCGGGTGAGGATTAAAAAACCCAGCCAGTGAGCGTGTAAGTGGAAAAACAAATCAGTGTTTCTCTTTCCCTCCATCTCTAAAATCAATCAATAAAAAAAATTGTTCTTTCTGGTTGCCCTGAGGCTACACATAGGAAGGGTGAGGCCAGGCTAGTGGCCTAAGGAGCACAAGTCCCATCTCAGACCCCACTGACCTTGCCTGTGCTAAGGTATGTACTAAAAGGTTTAAACATTAAACAATTTTGTATAGCCCGGCTGGTGTGGCTCAGCGGCTGAGCATTGACCTAGGATTCAGGAGATCTCAGTTCGATTCCTGGTCAAGGCACCTGCCCGGGTTTCGGGCTCGATCCCCAGCAGGGGGCGTGCAGGAGGCAGCTGATCAATGACTCTCATCCTTAATGTTTCATTCTCTCTCTGCCTCTCCCTTCCTCTCTCCAAAATCCTAATAAAGATATATATTTTTAAAAACAACTCTCTCCACCATTGTTGGAAGGAACCTTATTAGACTTGTGGTTTGGGTTTGCTTTCTCTGAAAAGCAACTCATTATCCCATTAAACAGGATAAGACCATTTTGAGCTGGTTTTTGGTAATAGTGAGGTGCTCCACTAGGGGGTATTGGGGCCAGGAGAATCAGTCCCCAGGACTGTATCCCCCAGCCGTCCCACACCTTTCTCATTTTCACTGCTACTTTTGGTAATAAGGTGGGGGAAAGGCTTTACGTACAAAGGTGCCCACTGTGTCACAAACAAACAGCAAACAGCCTCTGAGTTGTAGGCAGAAGGAAATTATAGATGTGGCCGCAAGGATGTCAGTGCAGCTTCTGTTTCCCCAAAGGAAAAATGGCCTCATTCAGTCCACCTCGGGTATGCCCCACAACCCCCGGGGCCTAAACACAGGACGTGGTGTCCCAAAAAGGAATGGAGGAGTGCCGAGTGCGAGTTGGGGGCTCATCTGATGTGTGCAGTTTTCTTTTTTTAAATATTTTTATTGAGTTTTAGAGAAGAAGGGAGAGAGAGAGAGAGAGAGAAACATCAATGTGAGAGTGAAGCATCCATTGGCTGCCTCTTGCATCCCCCCCATCGGAGACTGAGCCCTCAACCTTTCGGGGTGCATGGGACGACACCCAGCCGAGCCACACCTGCCAGGGCACTTGTGTGTAGTTTCCATCGTGTGGCTGTACTTCTTTTAGAATGAAAAAGCACATCTATCCCTCACTTAATTTTGATTTACTCCTGGTAAGTGCAAAACTGCTGAATGAAAAAATATAAATTTTCATACATTTTATTGGGTAATATATGCATTCTATCCTAACTCAAGGTATCCGCATATTTTTCACAGAAGGAAAAATAAACCAACCGAATACTGACAAAATAAGCAACAATGGGAAAGAAATAAATACTGCTTATGCACATAATGTAATGTAGGGGACGGCTGCTTATACCCGAGAAGAGAAAAGGAGTGATGGTGGGGTGGGGCGGAGACGAGATCAGTAGCAGTGCCATGCTGGGTCATAGTAAAACTGGAAGCAAAAGGAAAAGCCACATCCTAACTTTACTGAAAACATTTGGTTGAACATAATTTGTTTGCATTAATCTTGATTTAAAAATTACAGTATTACTGAGAATTTTGGTGCCCCCTTACATTTTATGTCGAGGTGAGTGCAAAGGTGCCCATTGTGGTGTCACAAACAGGAAACAGGCAAACAGCCCTCAAGTTGCA